TCCTGCCATATGCCTTGTTTTTGGAGAAGCCTCCTTATCCAACTTAATTTTAAAGATTCTATCAATGACAATAATTGTACCATCTTAAGACCTCCATCTCTATAATTTTTAACAACAACATATCTCTTTATTCTATCAACCTTACCATTCCAAAGTAATTCATAAAGGATACAATTGAGTTTATGAAGAAATTTGTCACTGGGATTTGGTAAAGAAATAAACAAGTGATTAAATCGGGATACCATTAATGACTTTATGACATGTATTTTACCAATAGGTGTAATAGATCTTCTTTTCCATGAAGTAAGAATAGATTTAAGCTTAACAAGTTTTTTTTTTTTTATCAAAGTTTAGTTTTGGTATCCTATAGATCTACATGAAATTCTACTCCAAGAAGCTTAAACTGTTCTTCACTCCACTGAAGATTTACTTCCGGTAATAAAATATCATTACTGTATCTCTTACTCCCTATCCATACTACTTGTGTTTTGTTCAGATTAATTTTTAGACCAGATATTCTAGCAAAAGTGTTCAATTCCTTTATAGATTCAGTCAGCGACTCCTCTGATCCATCTAGTATAAGTGAACTGTCATCTGCATATTGTGAAAATATAATTGGAAAATTGTTAATACTTATACCTTGAACTTTCCTGTTATTTCTCAATCGAATTGCTAGCATTTCAGCGCAAAGAATAAAAATATACGGTGCGATTGGATCACCTTGACGACAGCCTCTTTTGACATTGAAAAATTGAGAAAGATTACCTCCTTGGTTTATAGCAAAACTAATATTACAATGAAAAACTTTAATCCAATTTCTAATGTTATTTCCAAAATTAAAAAACTCTAACACTTCATCAATGAATTTCCATGCGACTGAATCGAATGCTTTCTCAAAATCGATCATAAGTAACATCCCAGGTATATCTTTTTCTTCAGTATAATGCATTATATCATAAATAAGCCTAGTATTTTCACCTATATATCTACCTGCCAAAAATTCAGTCTGATCTGTGTTGATAAGTTGAAATACTGCTTTTACCCTACCTGCTATTGTTCCTGAAGCTATTTTATAAACTATATTCAAAAGAGAAATAGGATGTCAGTTTTTGATGAAGTGTCTAGGTTTATTATCTTTTGAAATGCAAGTAATAATACCCTGTCTTTGAACAATGGAAAGTTGACCTATTTCATAACCAAACTTTATAGATCTAACTACAAAATCACCAAGTTGTCTCCAAAAACATTAAAAAAAATCAGTAGTGAAACCATCAGACCCTGGGCTTTTATTATGTTTCATATTTTTCATTGTCAAAGAGGCTTCGTCAAGTGTAATAAGACCTTCTAATTTATTAGATTCTATTCTATTCAATATATGAACTTAAAAAATTTCTAAATAATCTTCTAAATCAGCATCCTCTATATATGTTACTGTCTGCTGCATATAGGTTTTCATAAAATAATCTAACTTCGTCAAGGATTTCTCTCTGATTTGTAACAATTTCTCCATTTTCTTTTTTCCAATTTCTGAATAATTTTAGAAGTGAAATTTCTATTCTCCAAGTTAAAAAAAATATTTGGTAGGCTTTTCCCCCTTCCTCTAACCACTTAGCTCTTGATCTTATAATACTTCCTTTGATCTTATGTAGCCTGATATTTTCTAACTCGTTTTTTTCTCATTTAGTTCCTCAACATCTACATTATCCCTGTCTTCCAAAACTTGTATTAAATCTTTAAGTTCTTTTTCTCTAGAGTTTTTTTTTCTTATACGAGGTATTTGAAACAGTTACCCCTCTTATTTCCAGTAGGGGAGTATCTAAGAAAAGTTGATCATCAATTGTAAACTGAATTAATTCATTTGGGATTTCCGATTAACTATTAACGTTATATATAGGTAGAGAATGCTGTAATTTAACTGAAGTAATTGTTTTATTGATATCATCAATAACGTCTTTATCAGATAATAGAGAGTTATTAAACTTCCACAGCCCCTTTCCCCTCTTAAATGTATTAAACTTTTGAGAAATTTTTGGAGAAGAATGATCCGATCTGTATCCAGCATCTATACCTGCATTGTTAAACTCCACCCAATAAACTGGATTTTGGTTTAACCAGATATTAGAGAGTCCGCAATTATTCAGAGTACTCTTTATGCTTTCTATCCATGCGAAGAAACCATTTTTTTCTTCGTTGATAATAATTGATAATCTATACAAAATATTACTTATTTTACCTCCTTTACCTCGAATCAGTTTTGACCAATATGATATCATTCGGGTCTTAATTTCTATACCAAGAGGATGCCTGCCGAGCTCTCCATAAACCATGATGTCAGGACACGGACTTAGATAACAGTAATAATCTAATTCCGTGGTCAGGGGTGGAAGTCGGTGAGCCGTACGTGCACTAATTACGGCTTCGACAGGTGACCTGTAAAATATGATCATTTTATAAAGATTAGACTCTAGACAGCTATCAGAGGTAAAACGTGGTGTATAAAAATGGCGATGAAAATAGACACTATCAGTAGGTAGACAGCTATCGCAGGTAAAACGTGGTGTATAAAAATGGCGATAAAAACAGACACTATCAGTAGGTAGACAGCTATCAGGGACGTAAACAGGACTATGAGTATGTGGAAGCATACGAAGCGCGGAGTAGGGGGTGGGTTCGGGAGGGGGATTACCCCCTCCTGAGTTTGGGGGGGTTCCGGAGGGGTCTACCCCCCTCCCCGAGATTTTTTTTTGAATCTGGAACTCATTCTGGTGCAGTTTGAGACATAAAATAGCTATCATTTTCATATTTGTCTTGTAGTTTTTTTTATCAAATGCGTAATAATTAGTTCCATATGAACAAGGAAAATTTTCGTTAAATAGTCAACAAAAAACCCCAATATCAATGAGATAATGAATTCACTGAGGGCCCAGGGTTATATGAGTTGTTAAAGTTTATCACATAAAGTTCTACAATGTGAACCTTGTTAAAAGTATACTTGAAAAAAATACGTGGAAGTCCGTGCGTACGCCTGGTTACGTCCCTGGCTATCACAGGTAAAACGTGATGTATACAAAAAGTAGGGTCATCCGATCCCTAGTGTAACCAGCTGTAACACACACACATCTTACACATACTCATACATCCTGGGCATAAACAAATAGAGCGCGTGTCCGGTTTTCCTTATCTAGTCGGCTAAGCATGTAAGGCAGGAATTCACAGAAGGACTTGGAGTGACACAGAAGAAAGGCAAACGCGGCACGGAATGTGTTGAACTTTAGAAAAGCAGAAGGATATGTTACGTGTGTATAGATTAGGTATACTACTTACGCCGACTCGATTCGGAAAATCACACACGCGATCTCAAGTAAACTCTCCGAATACATATTTAAAAAAACTATACGTTTGTGTCCCTAATCCTATCATTACCTCTTTAGCTGTAAACCATCTTTAACATCTTATATATATACATATATAAATTTGTTTTATGTGATTAGGTGACACATTAATTTGGAATTATATTTATCTGTTACGGAAAGGACGTAAGTTAGTTGCAATAACTTGTGTCGAATCCATTTGTCTTTTGTTGCAATAAAATTGATTTTAACTAAACAGTTTATATATACAAATCATTTAAAATATAATATAGCCATGGCCCTATTTCACCCTTTATCAGTAACAGAGACGTATACTACGGAGCATAGGGACTTGAAAATTTGTTACAGCTTTCAGTATTTGGACCTAAGCCAAGGTGTTCAGTGTATATAAGATCAGAGACGTATATATTACAAATGTACGTCTCTGAAAAGATCAATGGGGTTGCATTTTTATCGAAAGCTGATCTAAACCTGTAACACGTGTAAAATTCCCCTGATCATCTTAGTTTAGGCAGTCATATAAACATATATATACGTCTCTGGTTTAAGTCAAAATATAGCTATAACAAAGTATCAGGTCCCTGTGCTACGGAGTAGTTTTACACATAACATCACTGTACACAAAACATGACACTCTTTAGATAAAAATCAATGTTCTTTCAGGGACGTATAGTGAACCGGCTAATCGTTATCAAAACACTCCCATCTCGGCGAGATTGGTGACACATGATTTTAACGCTAGTGCGCAAGCGCGGGCTGATCGAGAGGGGCTCTCGATGACTTCGCAGTTCGGTGAACAAACACAAAAGTGACGTGCTATATATAATCTTGACTGGGGCAGAGTTGCCAATCCCTGGTTCTTTATACCATTTTTCATTAATAAATACTATCAGAGACGTATACATGTATTAATTTAGATAATATTAGACCGTGCTGATACTATCCACTTTTCTTTTTTATTACAAGTTGGTATCATAAGAACGCATAATACAACTGTACTATCATGGGTCACGTAGGCCGCTAAAATAGGGGCGGATCCAGCAGCTGAGGAGTCGCCCACTTAAATAAGCCAATGTGAACATGTTTTACTATAGTCTGAAGGGCTAATATTTGGAAATAAGCAACCAATATATCAGTAGAATTTACTTTATAAATAGTTCAAATATTTGAGAGTCAAAAGGGTGTCTGATTAAGTTTCTTAACTAGCGTGAGTTTTAATATAATAGTCTTTTGAAAATCATGTCCAAATCAATAGCGTCGCACGTAAATCACGAAAGTTATGTTTTAAAAAATATTCTTAATAACCTTTAAATTGTCAATGTACCGATAATCAGATCAAAGCTTATACACAATTAAATTGTCATTATAGTATCATCAAGTGAAAACTTACTTTTATGTATACAGTTTTTGCATTGCATGACAGTTTCTTGGGTCATCTACCGAAAGTCGCGATCTAAACAAACCCCAAATAAATGTAAAATTACTCTGACCACTTTAGTTTAGGTCCAAATACAGCTGTAACAAATTATCAGGTCCCTGTGGTTAGGCCTACGTCTCAGATAATTGTAACAAATTTCTTTGATACCTGTGCACCCTGACACAACCTTCAAACTCACACCGGGGTGATCACAACGAGTCTTAATGTTACCTGAATTTTGTTAATGGAAAAGATGTAACTACTTAATTCTACTTTCATTTTCGATATGACTACGTTGGTATTCGTCAGGTTAAGTCTAATGACCCTTTGACACTCGCATGATGTTGTAACGCAGCGAGAATCTTTCTTCATCACCTCCATCACGTATGAAAGGCCTTTTGTAGCACATCGTCAAGGGTAAGTTGTTCATGACTTGAGTCTTTGTGATAATCGTGGTGCATTGACATATATATAAGGTATGTTATGCTGTACAAACATAACATATAGCCATGACTATTTGAAGGGAACGCAAGAGGGCTTACATACAGTCTGTCGTGGCGATGTTCAAGTTGAGGATATCCACAGGCGCTTGTATCTTAGGTGTTTGAAATTCTGACTAAATTGAGATAAAAATCATATACAAAAAATAAGGGTATTACTATATAAAAAAAGAACTGTTCTTTTTTTTATTTAGTAATACACTTATTTTTCTATATGATTTTTATCTCAATTCACAGTCAGAATTTCAAACACCTATGCTTGTATCTGGTAGGCCCTATTCAATGTTACCTGAGCTAAAATCCAAAATCCACTATAGAGGCCTCAGACCACGATAACACCTCCGGGTCGTTTTACACGAATGAAGTGCATACGGACATTTCAGGTGGGTTACTATTTTTTTTTCTTGTCTTATCTATGACAGATATGTACAGGTTTGTTTTACATAGAATTGTTCAACAATATCTATTCTAGTGGTTAAATTTTGTTTGACACAGTTTCCAAGTTTGTGTTGGCAGCAGGACACAATGAGTGGTAAGGCTCGTGCAGTGATATTTTGTGATTTTTGATATTTTCCCCATTACATGAAGGGTAGTGACATTCAAATAAAATTATCTTTCTTAAATGCTGGTCATGAGGTACTTTCCAGCTCACTGTACCTTCAGTTTGAATGGATCTACAATATGAAATAGAAACCCGACCGTATGCAATTTTTTTTTTTTTTTTCCCTTTGGTATAACATATAGTAGAATTAATTGTGGTTTGAGGCCTGTATAGAATGTGCCTTTTGGAGGTAGAATATCACTCTAGTGTCTAAAAAAAGAGATAGGGTTACCTGTTTACTAATCCTGTGTGATTGTATGTATTTTACCTGCATGTGTGAAGATGCCATTTCAAGTAGGTGTAATGATTATTAACTTGTTGACAAGCTGTTATTAGTAAACTGTACCCCAAAATGGCCGATTACGATGCAGATTTGACTCTCCACTACCTCTTTCCCGGCCCGATAAGGCATGTTTTTGACCAAGTTTACTGATATAGATGTTTGTGTTATGTTCCTACTATGTACGGTAAGATTATTTTCCAGTTCTTGTATATATTTCAGAGCTATTTTTAAAAATAACCTGCTTTGCATGAGGCGAGAGGTGGACGGAGCTTGTTACCGAACTCGGAAACAAAGCGCGAGGTGGGCGGAGCTTGCTACCGAAATCGGAAGCATTTGGCTCCATTGACATCAAAAGGGTAGTTGGGACTTATACAGCTTATGGTTTACAAATATTTTCTAGTTAAAACTATCTCTCCACTGTGTATCGGTATAATAAAACGGTTAAACTATGGGATTGAGGTATATAGCAAGTTTCTGGTGTCCCTTGCCCATGCATATTTAGACCTGGGCTCGGGACACCAGAAACTTGCTATATCCCTCAACCCCATACTTTAACTGTATAATACAAGCCTCAAAATGTGTAGCATGGTTCAGCATAATTCATGTTTAATTTTGAATGGTAATCAAACATCTGTATGTTTGCAAATAATTAATTTGCATTTGTTGCTCTTAGTTGAAAAAGAGATATGATTTTATACCAATTATATTCATGTGTCACACCGCTCCTGGTTTGGACCTCATTTTGTGGAGAAAGTGAGGGGTGCCTAAGCACATTAAAGTTATTATCATTTCTAAACAAGTTTAACTATTGAAATATCTTTTTCATAATTTTGTACAGATATATTTCAACTTCATATTTATGAAGTATCAGCTTTCAAATCTTTATAGTTTTTTAATTTTTAAGCAATTAGTTCATTAAAAATAGATTTAAAATCTGAAACTTTATTCAAAAATTGAATTAGAATTCATCACAAAGCAAATATTTTTCATATTTTTATGTTTTGTAACATTGTTTGAGTGACAACCATGCAAACGTAAGTTTCAATTATAGATGTCAGTGCCCTGTATGCTCCCTTTAATACTTTGAGATAGACCTCCACTAAACCCTACCCCCAGGACACCCTTGACCACTTGACCACTAAATACCTGCTAAGTACCTTATGACCCCCCTGTGTGTCTGTACCACTGTGATCTTTAAAAAGTGGTCTTTTAGACTGCTCAAAGTTAGACTGGCTGAGATTTTATTTTAAAAAGTTAATCACTGTTTTAAGTAGAAATATAACATTAACATTTGAAAGTTTAATTTTTAATTAATAATAATGCCCCCGATTTACAAATTAAAAGTGATCATAATAAAAATTTGGAAAACAAAAGCCTGTTGACTGTTTTTTATCATGATAAATTCGTTGGAAGAAATCCGTCATCATTGTGTTGTTAACAACAATGTTTATATGGTGACCTTATACATATGTTGAAAACTGGCTCCTGACTGGGGGTTGGGGTATAAAAATGACTTTATTTTGTTAAGTTTTTGAAAAATCAATATAAAATTTGGGGTTAAACTTCATCTTTAATATATAATACAAAATACACAGTCAAAAATTGAAGTTCAAAATATACACCAATAATACATACATGTATAACACAGGCTCTCATGTATTAAGTACCAGATACAAGCGCCTGTGGGATAACTAAGCGTAATCACAGGGACCTGACAATTTGTTGCAGCTATATTTTGTTGTTGTTGAATGTCGATATGAAGTATCCTTTTCTGACTTGATACTTTGCTAGCCGAATAGCCTGCCAGCAACAGACTCCAGTTGAGCAGGGATTAAAGCTATTTACATTGTATCAAGCTTTTACACTATGTTTTATTGTAAATATTTGTTGATTATATTTATTTATGTATGATTTGAAATATATACATTTGTATGTATACACTCTTAATCATACATTAAGGAGTAACTAACATTTTAATGGTAATATGTTTATTACTTATTTCTTTTCATGTATTGTTAGAGATCCAATGTGAATCATTGGCGATAAAAGGCAGGACAGATTACTTCCTGGGGTGATTGCTCCACAGTGTGTTTATTGACCTATTAGGACCTAAACTAAGATGTTTAGAGTAATTTTACATGTTTAGGGGTTTAGATCCACTTTCGGTGAAAGTGACACCCTTATGTTTATTTTTACCGAAAGTCGATCTAAACCCCTAAAATATGTAAAATTACTCAGAACACCTAGTTAAGTTTAAGTCTAAATATAGCTGTAACTAGTTCTCAGGTCCCTGTGAGCGCGATAACCACCACACATACGCGTGTAGATATTTGTTTTGTATTCTTGATGTTTCGATACCTGGTAGGTTCGGTATCGGTATTTTTTGTAAGGAGACAAAAAATACCAAAGATTTAAATCAGCAACAAACCGGACATGAAAAGCAAAGCAAAAGGTTGAAAGTCGACTGAAAGAGCTGAGTTTTGCTTTGCCTGCCCCCATAGGTGCTGGTAACACTAAAAGCAAGGCCTGGGTCTGATCTAATTCCGTGATAAAAGTATATATATTATATATATATACACATCATATCACTATTAGTGTGTCTGCTGTAAAGGCTGGATATTTGCGATGACCATTTCTGAAAACCTAGTATGCGAAATCTGATAATTAATCTCAGGTTCCAAAATTCTTATCGTTCGCTAAGGTCTGAAAAATGTATTAGTGTTGACATGAAGAGTCGGTCGGGAACAGGAAACACAGTTATATTTTTATTTGGCCTCAGCTGTCTACTGCTCTATATATAACACACGGGGAATTAATTGTCGCTGAAATCTTTTCGTTTTACATGTTTTTCAGAGAATACCTAAATACCTAAATAACAATGGTTCATTTCTCTCTCACTTGTCTAGCTGTCACATCCCAACTCGATACAATATGCACGCTACATAATTTTATTCCATTGAGGTGCTGTTGATTGCTTATACCAACAAACTTATTCTGCTGTGTTCTACTGTAAACTCATAGGTGTCAGTTAACCTCTGAAACTTCCAATGAGGGAACTCTCTCATTCCCTATTTCCAATGAGGGAGAAAGTGTGTGGAACACGACTGATTTGCTCAATTCATCTTTCTGTTTTTTTATCAAAATAACATCGAAAAGCATTAATTTGATACAGACACACCCAGCTGTCATGATCATTAAACACACCCTGCAGTAATTAGGAGATCATTTGACCCTCATGCAAACATTTTTTTTTACTTTGCGTGAGTTTGGACTTAAAAGATGGAGTTTCGAGGGAGATTGGTAAATTTTGGTCAAAATGAGGGAGTCGCCCTCCTAATGAGGGTTGACAGCTATGGTAAAATAGTAGCTTTTGTCTATTTCTTGATTGATTTTTATTAGGAAGAACATTTTCCTACATCCAGTTGTAAATTAATATGACAAAAGTTCAGACACCTTGAAAATCAGATAGAATTTGTCCTGAAGAAATAAATGATACCATGGCCAGCTGGTGTTCAGGCATTTGGTACTTTCTGTTGGGTTCACTGTTACCAAAGTTTGTGAAATACTAGATAAATGATACAAGATCCAAGAATTTGTATATAACATCACATATTTAAAATGAAAAAACACAGTTGTAGTACTAATCTTGTGACAAGAAGAATACATTTTTGTCAATCATCAAATGAATAATATATATAGCCACCATTGCATGTACAAATGTCTACAAATGACCTTTTCTCTCCAGAACCATCATCACCTAGCTAAAACAGTTAAAATCAATCAGACACTCTTATCATTATCGCAGATTATTTTACCCTTTTTTAGCTCACTGTGTCCGAAGGACCAAGGTTAATAAAATCTTTTACCTGTAACTGAACGAGATCGGGTTATCTCAGTCGAGGGTTAAGATTCTGTAACAAAATCCCAACCAAGGCGTTAGCCGAGGTTGGGATGTTACAGAATCTTAGCCTGAGTCTGAGATAACCCAATCTCGCTCAGTTACAGGTAATTGTTTTTTTTTCTCGCACCTTTTAGTTCGAAAAGAACTTTTCAATTTTGCTAAAAACTTCAAGTATCCCGCCTTGGGTCTCAAATGATAATGACCTCTTCACTACTTAAACTACATTTGAATGCTTCAGCGTAAAAATGTAGTCCGTCCTTACATAGATTACAACGTATTTCACAGTGTAGATTATATTTTACTTACAACACCAAATATCTAACAACATCAAAACTGTACGTATAACGACAAAACAGAACATTTATAATGCAAATTGTCAATTTCAAGCAGTGAACGCGCCGATGAATACATCGCAGTGTAAAAATTCCGCCAAATGTCACGTAAAGGTACAAGACAGATCGGACGAGATAGAAAAATCTAGCAGTGGGTATAATGTGGGATATCTCTGTCTGAGGTACAAGAAAAGCTTATGTCATACCATGGCATCTGTCATCCGTACATCAGCTTCACACAACTTCCTCTCTGGAACTAAGGGATGTATATCATCAATATTTAGTTGGAATCATCCCTAGGTGATCGGGGTTCAAAATTGTACAATTTGTGGGACTGAACCCCAGGGCTAAGGGGTTGGGCCAAAACAAAGTTAATAACTTGGAAATGGTTGAGATCTCCAATCTATAACCATATATGTAATTACATATACTTTACAGTATGGCGCTAGGGTGTGGCCCTACCCTTTGAGACTTGGTCATAACTTTGAAATGGTTGAGATCCCCACCCCAAACTTATTTATATACAATTGCTGAGCTTAAAGAGACGAACACAATCATGATATTTGCATTGACTCTTGGGTCTGACCTCGCCCCTTAGGGACCTAGTTTCTGAGTCACAACTTGTTAACAGTTGAGATCCCGGGGGCACCCCATAACCCATACATGCATACAATTGCTTGGCATGAAAAATCTAATACAGATATGCTACAATGATTGCCCTTGGGGTCCGGCCCTATCCCTTGAATCTTATTTGGAGGATATTTTGCCATGATTGCTTAGATATCCAGATGAGCAATACAGGCCCTCTGGGACTTTTTTTTTTTTTTAACAGGAATGAATTATCAAAAATGATTGAATAAAATATGTACTGCTGAATATAATGGTTTCCAATATCAAAAGTGATAAAGCAAATACTTAACTGATTCATTTAAACTTGAAAACCTTACATTCGTAATACTACAGCCAGCTCATCTGTCCATAATTGAAGTGTATTGTTTTTTTACTTTCCAGAAAATTGTCCCAATTTATCAGAATTCTACACAGGCAATAAGATGACTTCTGCTACAGATGGTACTGAGGTACACGACAGCGTGAAGGACTATTATGGGAAGAGAGTGAAGACAGTGGATGATCTTCAGACTCAGGCATGTGTAGCCCCTGGAAGAAAGGTCACTAAACCTGTAAGAGAGGCCATAGGACTTGTTCACGAAGTTGTTACCTCAAAGTAAGTGGATTGGTGGAAATAGCCTGGCCCCAATATTGTGAAACAAATGTTGACATAAATCCCTACAGTTTCAATTGTTGATAAATTTGATATAATTATCAGGCAACAGTCCAAATTTAGTCAGCCTGTACGAAATGTAAGTGAATCTAAGTGAGTAACTGTGTTTGATACTACAGATTGACTTGTTGCAGTGTATTTATTTATCATCAATACACATAGTATCTGCTGTTTTTCTCTTAACTCATTGATTTCTGAAACAACATTCATTGTAAAACAAAAACAAACACTGGTGATTGTCATGTGTGTGATATATACATGTTGCAATATATTTGGTGCCTTGACCAGGTACTATGGATGTGGGCTTGTAATCCCAGAGAAGCTTGAAGGGATGAAGATTTTGGACCTTGGGAGCGGTAGCGGACGTGATTGTTTTGCCCTCAGCAAGCTGGTTGGTCCCACAGGTCATGTGACAGGCATCGACATGACGGATGAACAGGTACTGAACAAATATAATATACAGTTGGTGGAAAAAAATCTTATGACTAAAGTTTTTATTACAGATTTAAACTAAGTGTTTGTTTTCTTTTATATTATTTTGGCATTAACATCAAGATATGATTACGGATGATTGGGGAATTTTCAACTGGTGCCTTTGCAACTCTTTTGAGTATTTTCATTGTCAAATAAATGAATTGTGAATTTTCATCACCAGTAATTAGGTAGTTGAGAATTGTATATACATTTTTTTAAATAAGGGGTCAGAAATATGTGTATTATACAGAGCAATGAGAACTTAATCCTGTGTATTCATAAATCCATTTTTGTACATATATGTAGTAAAAATCACTGAAACTCTGTGTACAGGACAAGAATTGACAGAAAGTACCCACAAATATTGCATGTAAATACTATGTGCATGTTTCTGGGTGAATTTAATCAATCTTTAGCTTTGGTCTTAAACTATGATTATTTTTTGCAATTTGAACAGCTTGACGTGGCCCGCGAGTATATTGGATATCATACCAAGAAGTTTGGTTACACTAAACCTAACATCGACTTTGTAAAGGGTTACATTGAAAGGCTCACGGAAGCAGGACTGCCAACGAACAACTACGACATTATCGTGTAAGTAAATTGCGTCATGATTTAAGAATGTGATGTCATCATGTACAAATATGATATCAACAATATTATGGTCATTGTATGTGACATCGTAGTTACAGCATTATTTGACGTGACCATTTGAGGATATGATGTCACTGTGTGAACATGAAGGGTGTTCCTAATGGTAAAACCTTGACAGTTAAAGTTTTCAAAACTAAACCGAAAAATTTCTGAAAGAAAAAATAATCTGAAAAATCAGAATGGTGCCACCTTTTTAATGTTTTGTTGACCACTGGATGTGAAAAAAGTCTCGTTATGAGGTCATACCATAATAGTATGTACAGTATATGATGGTATCAATAAATATGTGATGTCATAATATGATAAATATAAACTGGAAATCATACTCTATCAGAAAATATGCTTTGTATTACATTTGTATATTTCTGCACTAGAAACTGTTAAGAAGTACCTTAGATGAAAATTACAGCTGGAAGGTATACCCATTACAAATCTCAGGACAACATGGTACAATGTCTTGAAATATCAATAACTTCTATACGTATTAGGTCTTACAGTACACATTTCTAGAGTATATAAATGAGTATTATTTCCCGATCAGTTCCAACTGTGTGGTGAACCTGTCCCCTGACAAGAAGGCTGTCCTACAGGAGTCCTACAATGTCCTCAAGGTAATTGTGTACAGCCCTGCAGTTACAATGTACCAAGGCTCTTCATTAATTAGGACACTTTATATTTTAAATTATCAGGATTCACATGTTAACATCATGTGTATAGAACCCTATCTAATCACAAGGAGTGCCTCTAAGGTAAACTTTCAAGAAATAACAGATGTATATCATATTCATTGTAAACAGGATTGAGTAGAGACAGTCTTACTCAACACATCTTTATAGTGATTGATCCCCATTAGTATCTCTGTATGTGTGTGTGAACAGGGGGTTGTGTAGGTGCACTGCTTGTTTTGGGTCTTTATTTCCAACAGCTCATTTAAAGTGACATACAACTTGAATCCTCTTCAAAGACCAGTCTAGTCACATGTGAAGTTTACAAGCTATGAATTCAGCCTACATTGTTGGATTGCGATAATGCTAGCAGTTTTATATTTCAGTATATAAGTTTTTGTATATTGTTTTTATTTATTTTAGAAGTTTCTGGATCACCCAAGATATTTGGGAAACACATTTGGTTTTAATATTAACTAATATGAAGAAAGCCATGTTAACCTAATCGTAATAAAACACGTTAAGTGATAAAAACCTCCTGATTGATTTCATGCTTTCAGGAAGGTGGTGAGCTTTTCTTCAGTGACGTTTATGCAGATCGGACTTTGGAAGAGTCTGTACGCAAACACAAAGTATTATGGGGTATGTACACATCCCTCATGTATAAAAAAGTAAATGTTGGTTATACAGCAACGCCCATGAAGTGAAACAAATTGAGGGAACCTAAATTCTTCTCTTGTAAATATACACTGAGGTTCTCAAATAGCCAATAATTTCTTGGGAAGTTTAAGGAAGGAGTGTGGGAAATTTCCTATAAGCTAGGAGTATTCTTAGTTCATGTCTTTTGTTCACTTGGAATTTATTTTGATAGAGTGATAAGAATATAAAAAGGTTGTTTTTATTTGGAAATTGATCCTTTTAACAAACTTGAAAAAGAGAATGATAAATTATTGTGAAAATCATTGATTTATCTTTGACAGGTGAGTGCATTGCTGGGGCCCTGTGGTGGAAGGAGGTACATGACCTAGCTGCGGAGATTGGCTTTAGTAAACCCTACATGGTCAGTGTTTCACCCATTCCTGTTGACCGGGACGACTTTAAAGAAGTTCTGGGTTAGTATCGTCTTTTGGCAAACTTGAGGTGAAAATTTCACAGGAAGTGAATTTCATTGAGTTAGACTCTGAACAGGTTGTAAGGGTTTAAATTTGTATGCTATACTGCTTACACATTGTATACTGTCTTGAATGAGAGTAATCTCACTTAAAAATTAGAGTTGGAATCAACGATAAAACTTCCATTAATAAGTCTGGATTTCTGTTTATACAAAACAAAACACAATGCATGTTAACAATATCAATGATTCCTTTTTAGTACAGTACTGACAACATTTCAGGATTTACTCATTCACCCCTGAAATTTCATAATGAAGTAGTATTCCAACCTTTGATTAGGAAGAGTTCAAATGTGTCTTCAGGGTGAATGACTTAAGAAGCCACACATGATTAAGCAAATAAATCATTATTTGACGACTCATTTCATTGGAAAAAAATACAATTTGAATAATGGGAATTTAGGAACAAAAAACGGTATAGAGATCAATGTAAAATATAAATATTAAAATAAAAAGAAAGATTTTGAAACATGCATCTTGCTGATGTAATTCTGTCTCCTCAGATTATGGAGATTGATAGAGTTGTGTATGTTGATATAGGCGATGCAAAATTTGTATCGGTGACTTACCGCTTGTTCAAGCTGCCCACTAAAAAGTGTGAGAGTTCCCAAGTGATATATAATGGAGACATACCCGGCTATGAAGAGGTGTTCAACTTTGACTATAAAACAAACTTCAAGGTAAGGCTTATATAATTGAAGTAATACCGTTATGAGAAACAGAATTTTGAAAAAAAAATCAGAAGCTTTCTTCTGATTGTACACCTAACCTAAGATGAACCGCATTGGAAACTTATGCCTAATATCACTCATTGTGGGAAATAAAGTATTGAAGAGAGGATGCCACTGCTTACAGTGTCTTTCTCATTCTGGCATTTGAAAATTGTTTGTAATAATTACCCCAAGGAGTATGCAATTTATATATAATATCACATACATGTATACTTAAACCTTGTGACTGTAAACACGTCCTTCAGTTTCCAACCAAATCTTCTGAGATTTGATTTGTGTTTTGACAAGAATTAGATAAAGACTAATACCCTGAATTAACAGTGTTAAATATCACAATAGTTTTTGCCCTTTCTACTTTATTCAGTGTTACAACAGACCTTGAGAAAAATGGGTAAAGGGAGACAACCATTATGATTACAAGTAACCAAACAGATCCTTGCTTTATTTCTGGTCACTGAACTAAAATAAGTTTTTTCTTTTCAACAAATCCAATAAACTGTTTGTCTTTCCTGATTTAAAATTGAAATATGTATGTACCAGCTTTATATTTAACATTTCTATATTTTGATACTTTTGTGACATGAATGCATCAAAAGAGATCCGAGATGTATGATGCACGTTATTTAAAGAAAATGCTAGACATTGCTTGATATTTTATTTCAAAGTGTTAAATAAGTGTAAATAACTCTGGGAAACTGTTTTTTCCTGCCTGACTATAGCTTTGACAGATCATTTGTGAAAAAAACTAACTGAAGGGACTTTTGTGAGAAATAATGGGGATATGAAAAAACAATATACAATCAACAACAGCATTCTATGTGTAATTTAAGAGGGGCTCGACTGGGATTCAAACTCAAGACTTGGTATTGATGTACTATTGCTGTAACGGATTGAACAACCTGGTCATCAGAAGTGTAACTAGCCTATCTGTGCAATAGTAACATCTGAATGGACATTAAGGGGAGGTTACAGTGTATAGGAAAAACTACAGTGCATTGGGACAGGGGTTCTTAAGGAAGTTAAGGGGAGGTTACTGTGTGTGTATAGGAAAAACTACAGTGCATTGGGACAGGGGTTCCTACGAATATACACAATACCACTATTGGGGATTATATTTTTATAGCATTATTCTATACATCCTTTCCACTACATATGCATTGTAGCGTTTTATTGGCTAAAAACCATGGATTCTTTATGATACATGCATGTGCATTGCCTGTGCATGTATCTTTTTCTAGCAAACCATGCACATGCATTGCTCTTCCAGAAACATTTCCTGTATTGCAAATGTAAACAAGTGAACCATGGGCTTATTTCATTTGTTGAGTGAGGTACATGCGTTTCATTTCTTATATACATGTATTGGAAGATTGCTGATGAACAAGTTAAGGAGAAAACGCTATTTTATCTCTAGATCTATGAAAGACCTGTTAAGTCCTCAATCAGAATGTTCCACTGTACATACAATGAAGATGACTTGAAATTATGTTTGTTAGTCAGTCAAGTGTTTCTTGTGTTGGTAAGTGATGTCGATAGATTGGCTTTTGTTAGATATTAAAATATATATTTTGTATAATGCATGATGCAGCTCTGGTCATTTATCATTTGCTGAATTAAAAAACCCACATGACCTCTTCTAATTGAAGTTTGTGGGATCTGAAGACCAAAATTTGAGAATGGTCTTTCAACCAGGCAAGATGTGAAAAGTTGTTGTTTTTCTCTGGCTATACAAAAACTAATCTCAACTTTCTTTGTTCTTTTTATCCAAAATCTATGTTAAAAAGGGAAAATATTACAACTGCTCACAGGGTCAGAAATGATAAAAATGTGCAGCTTGTGAAATGAAGACATGGGCACCATGTAACAAATGTTTGCGCTCACAAAAGACCCTTGCATATTTTATAAGCATTTTAGTATTGAGATAGACACAAAAACACATATTCATTACATAATTCCTGGTAGAATATAGATATAGCTGAAGTGGCCCACATTAATATTTTTTGCCAACCTTTTCCCACCTTCATGGTATATTCCATCTTATACATGCCCATACATTGAACTTTTCTCAAATAGCACACCCAATACATAATATTACATGTAGGTTACAGTCCTAAAGATGCAAACTGTAACTGAAGTTTGGATCTTCCTTGTCCAAAGATATGTTAGTGAAACATGTTTGAACTGAACTAAGTTTGCATTTTTAAAGACTGACTAAGATTAAGTAAAAAAGATAATAATATAAGAAAATTATTTTTCATGAAGCAATCTGAGAGAGAGAGAAGGGGTGGGGGGGGAGAGAACATGTTTCGGGACTGGCTTTATATAACAAAACAATATATACCAGTATATTGATATAGATTAATCTGGATAAAGATTACTTACTTTTTATATTACAACAGACCAATGATATCAACTCAGTAGACGAAAACATAGCGACAGCCCTAAAGTCATCCAGGTTTGGTGATGAGTTTGATTTTCAACCACCAGCAAAGAAATCGTGTGGCACATCTGCTTGTTGCGCAGACTCAAAGGTAGGTTATGAACAGAATCACAAACCTGCTATCATAATACAGATATATATTAAATTCAGTATCACAGATTTACAGAATTACTCTATAAGCATGCAGTATTTTAGTGTATTGGTATTTATACTAAAAAGTTTCTTCAATAACACAACTTTGTCATACAAACAACTGGTGATGACTACAGATCCCGATAATTAACCCAAAACTGTGTCTGTGTGAACTAAACTACACTGTCAAAAATGGTAATTTCTGGAAAATCGTTCCTTAAACACTGAAAAAAATCGCATTAAATTTAGTGATATTTTCACACTGCTAAATTTTGCTCTTGTTCTTATATACTCCTGTGTGTATACAATCCTGTTATTCTGTATTTCCCTCCCATTTTTTATTTGCTCACCTGCCTGAAGGGCAAGTGAGCTCATGTCGTGGTGCGGCGTCCGTCCTCGTCCGTCAACTTTTCCTTTAAACAACTTCTTCTGTAGAACGGACAGGCCTATATAGAGTCATGATATTTAGCTGAAAGCTTTTTTGGTAGGAGCCCTACAAAGTTTGCGCATGAAAATTAGTTTGACCTACTTTCAAGGTCACAGGGGTCAAATATGTCAAAAACTTCAAACGACTTCTTCTGAAGAACTAAAAGGTATAGAATCATTATATTTGACTGATTGGTTTCTGGGATGGAGCCCAACAAAGTTTGAGAATGAAAATTACCTTGTTCTACTTTCAAGGTCACAGGGGTCAAATGTGTCAAAAGCTTCAAATGACTTCTTCTAAAGAACTGAGAGGTATAGAATCTTTATATTTGATTGATGGCGTCCTGGGATAGAGCCCAACAAAGTTTGAGGAAGAAAATGACCTTATCCTCCTTTCAAGGTCACAGGGGTCAAATGTGTCAGACACTTCATACAACTTCTTCTGAACCACTGAAAGGTATAGAATCTTTATATTTGGCTTGTAGCTTCCTAGGAAAGAGCCCAACAAAGTTTGAGAATGAAAATGACCTTTACCTACTTTTAAGGTCACATGAGGCAGATATGTCAAACATTTCAAATGACTCCCCTGAAGAAATGGGACTTATAGAACCTTAATATTCAGCTGGTTATTTCCTGTGAAAGAGCCCAACAAAGTTTGCGAATGAAAGTGACCTTGACCTACTTTCAAAGTCACAGAGGTCATCAACATATTAATGGATTTGTTCTTAAGAACTAAAAGGAATGGATTCATAAGATTTGGCTGGTAGCTTTTGGAATAGAGCTTACCAATTTGAGAAGGAAAATGACATTGACCTACTTACAAGGTCACAGGGAAAAATATGTCAAGCAACTTCTGAAGAATCAAAAAGCATAGAATCTTGTAATAATATTTTGCTAGTAGTTTAAACAGATGGAGCCAACAAAGTTTGAAGGGGAAATATTTTAGTGCAATATAATATTTAATGAGAATATTTTGCTATGACTGCTTAAATATTCAGGTGAGCGATACAGGCCCTCTTGGGCCTCTTGTTTACTTCCTGTTAATATGGGACACTAGAATTGAAAGGTTTCATGCACAGTTATACAGGTATCCAGTGTTTGTATTTATATGTTGTCCTTGTGCATCATGATCACAGGAGGTACACATGTATCCCAAAGGTCAGGGATATTTGACATAGTTCTTTTGAAAATGTATTCAACACCTTGGCAGTTTTTCATAAAGTAGTATAGATTTTAAAATTTTGAAACCAATATGATATGTTAGAGTTAAGGTTACAGTGTATAATATCTGTAAGAGGTATCTCTATCGAATATTTGAAAATAGACATAATTATACCTGATTGTTATTAATTAATGACTAAGTTTTTGTTATAAATATCTCCGTCGTAATTTTTAGCTACCGGTAATGCTTTGTAGTGCTTGACCCTTAGAATGGAGATATATGTGTGTGTGATAGCATATACCTCTTATTCTGATAATATGATATTGTCACTGCCTCTATATGTCTGGTCCACTGGAGGTTTGGTTGAAAAAAACCCAGACTTATTATATCCCATTGTATGATTGAACAAGGTGACCAGTGTGAGTTCTCTACAAAATTGGATTGTTCTAAACCCCTACAGAATCAGGTGATTGTGAGACTTTTACAAATTCATTTGATTTCTTAAATATCCTTTGCTGAGTAGATGAGGAAGAAACTGAACTTTTTATACTGAAAACAGTAGAAAGTTTGGGATCTTATCTTTCCCTTTTTAAACCCTTTCAACCCTATGTCACTTTAATAGACTCTACCATGCATTGATCTGGATAAGTCCATTATGGTCTACAGTGTTAAAAGAGTTAACATAATTCTATAAATGAGTCATTTCTGCATCTCTGTTGGTACTGCCTCCAATCCTTTGCTGTATTCTACTGTGTAATATTTCTAAACATTATCTTTAATCTTCAGATTGGTAAGTATGAATTGAAGAAATATAATTATGTATCACAACCAGTAAGAAATATTTGCTGTTTGTAATACATCTTTCTACAATGTTTGATATTTCGTTGTATTTATAGCCCGGTCGTTCAGATTTCATCAAATAAAAAGAATCTACATGTGTTTCATCCATCCTGAAAAGAACTGTTGATTTGTTTACAGCCTGAAGATCCATTTGTTTACTTGGAAGAGAAGAAAAAGAAAGGGGAGGTGGTGGCACCGCCACCATGTTGTACAGACAGCAAATGTTGTTAAGGCCATTTTCAGCATATGTGTTGTAACCCTTTCACCCCTATGTAACTTAAGTAAACTCTACCATGCATTAATCTGGACGAGTACAGTATGGTCTACAGTGGTGAAAGGGTTAATGGACATTTAAAGTTGGAAACATAACCTGCAATATTTAAATCAGCAAGACATTTGTATCGTGAATAGATTCTGCTAATGATTAACATAGACAGTAATCACGCACCTGATTGTTTAGTGATCATGATGTGTCAACAAAACAATTGGAGACACAAGAAGTGAAAGATACTAAATGAGGATGGAACAGGTATATGGATAAGGAGTTTGAGTTGAAGAGCGAAAGGTAAGAAAGGATAGGGATGGTACATGTAGATGAGGACATAAGAAATATCCAACAGATTTTTGGGATTCTTACATCATTAAAGCACACTGTTGAGACATAAAATATTACATGATTTTCAATTTCGTAGCAACTTTATGAAAAGAGTCGTGGAATTTTCATTTCAGCGAGCTTCTGGTGAGCTACAATTTTAAATCGTAACAAATCGAGAAATGAAAACAATTGTAAGATTATGTTGAATGAGAAACTTTTCCTCAGGTTGATGCCATGAAGTTGTCCTACATGTAGTTGTGTTGTCACGTTTTGAATAATGGATCCATGCAGCCAACCACAGCTCTACCAGCTGTTATTAATGTGTGCTTATACCACAAATTTTGTGATGAATGTTCTAATATTGATCACATGGTATATATAAACAAGAAACATGTATTTCATATTACTATTCATTTCACTTATTAAAATCCTCACCGATAACTTGCCTGATGGAAAACCACGAAGTTGTTAACAGTATAGTGTAGGGAAAGAGTTAAAAAGCGAGAAATGGGGAGTGATGGATAGGGATGCAGGAAAGTGATAGATGAGAAGTGAAAGACAAGAGAAGTGAAAGACATGAGAAGTGAAAGACATGAGAAGTGAAAGACAAGAGAAGTGATCGAAAGATACCAAATGAGGATTGATTTAGCTATGTAATACTTGGTTGCCATTATCTGATTAAGAAAATGATTCTATATGAAATTTACAATTCATAGCCTTTTACAATTTATTCATGACTGATTCAGACAGAAGCTGAGTACTTTGGCTAGTGTAATCACCCCTGTGCTGATTGTGTAAAACAGCTTCTGTATGGTGGTAATTACAGACCACTTTATATTGGTAGTGCTTGTGTACCTAAATCTGAGATTATCCAACCCGAGTTCCCATTACCATATCAATGTCATTGTCAGGTCTCCATAATCTGTTGTTGTGTATAATCAATAATCTACAGATTAATGAATGCTCCTTTCTGTTGAGTTATACCCGTATTGTCATATCATTGATAAACCATAGTATAATAGGTACCGTATTTATCTGGCAATATTAATGGGCCCATGTCTGGTGATAAACTCATCTGTCGTATCTAGTTTCACTTTAGTATAATGACAACAGCACTATTTCATATTCCTGTTATTCACATGTAAGCTCGACCACTTGCTTGAGGCAGATATTTTGTGTTGGTCACCTGGGCTTAATCTGGATAAATACGGTAATGCAACCAAGTGGAAAAACATGGGCTGATTAATAACCATCAAAATTAACATTCTTACACCCGATTATCGATCTTTTTCCTTTTATTGTTATTCAAAGCCATCAAAGATTATATCGGTGGAAGTAATTATGATAGGTTTTTATCACATGAAAGATTAGTGGAAAGATATATTATCCTTCTTCACGGTACGGAGGCAGGGTACATTGTTCTCACGGGCTAGCCTTGGTCGATAATCATGTATATGCGAATAGTTCAGGATTGAATTTTTTTTTTTTTAGACAGTACATGACGGTATTAAACCCAATAACATATTCATTATTTCACGGGTTTGTCTACATGATGGTTTCAGGACGTTAAGAATCTGCATTTTAATTCATAATTTGTACGTTACAAACAATGCAGAACATCACTTTATCTCTCTGGGTAGTACATGGATCTTTTGTCCTATGGTGCTTTTCATACAAACATTTTACCAAATATTGGAAAAAATAAATCATGATTTCTATAGCTACTAAGATCATTGTCTACTATTTTTGTTAGGCGACATATTAAAATCAGAATCAATCGGAAATATCGTCACAATTTGATTTTGACGTCAATAGAAGATTAACAGTTAGTGACCGATTACTAAATTGTATGTCAGAAAAACATCTGAACACATTACGACAAAAAACCATTACGCTAAGCATTAACATAGATATTCTGTTTTACTCCGTTTTACATTATAACGCCATTGTTTCCATGCCATGAATGAACAGAGTAATAAAAAAATAAAAATTCTGAATGTTCATCCCCAATTTCGACTTGTAAATCAGCTGAATTCCCTGTAAATAACAGTTTTCACCAAACATAAAATCCATCACACAGACAAGCTTAAATTACGATATTTTACACGAATACTTCATGCAGACGTGTTTTATTTTGCCGTTTCCCACCTCAATTAAACATTCTCAGATTGGGAATTCTCAGATTGGGAAGTTTAATTGGGAGTTCTCAATGATTATTTAAAACAAAATAGCAAAGCCATATATACCAGGTTTTGCTTATTCTGGAAAATATTTGGACACACCAATGTAGATCAAATTACATACACGTAATATAATATCTGTTGATAGCTTAGCACTAGGAAACTTGTCCACACGTCATCTCCATAGCGATAGGGCGTTGATGCTGTAGACGTCGTATATCTCGTTCGTAGTTAAAGGGGTTTTATACTGAAAAAAAACATTGGCAGGGAAAACCGATGCATTTGTTGTAAAGTTCAGCTTAATATTGACATTAATTAATTTCCATAAAACCGCTCAACCAAAATATCTTGCCACTTTAGATTTGCTATATGATCAATTTAAAAATGATTGTCACAAATTGTTGGTTTCTAGGATGCGTTTTTCTCTGACAGTGATCGTTTTTTTGTGCATAAAGATAGTATCGGGGAATTGAGAATATTTGTTCATTTTATATATAATACTGGCAATTACATTTCCTTTTATTTACCAACTTGTAATATGATACGATTTACGTGTATTTGTTATTTTTTGGTATTTAGAGACTTCAAATCATTGCAATCATTTAATGTTGACATTAGCGCATTTTTAATTGTTTATAATGAATATACAATGATATAGGAAATAAAAAGAAAAATTTATAAGAAAATGTCTGTCTGTTTTTGTTTCTTTATTTTCTATGAAATTTTGAACTACGAAAATGTATTATTTGTATGCTTTGTTCGATTACAGAAAATTTATATTAGCAGACTAACAACACGATCACCATGTTTCTTTAAAGGGGTATTAAGTTAAACAATTTTTTTTTTCATCTCCCACCCAACGAAGTCGGAAGGGGATTTACATACGGGTTCCGTTCATCTGGTTGTGTTTCCAGACTATAACTCTGAAACCTTTCAAACTAATGTCTTGAAGCTTTGTATGCACATAACTCCATTTGTCTGTAGTGCGTTTTGGTGTAAAAGAGTTTCCAGAGCATATATCAAAAACCGTTCAAGACACCTTGTATTTACATCAATGTTTTAGTCTAGTAGGCTTTTGACTAAAAGGGTGCTATCATTTTCAATATCTTTCTTGTAACTATAGAAACAGATAGCCAGAAATATAAATTCAGGGGCATACCTCAAAACACCGTTCAGGAAATTTTCACAAAATGTTCTTTTTATGTCAATCTAGTTTCATAGTATTGCCGTTTTTTTGAAGTATTTGCATTTATCCAGTAACTTTAGAAATACATGGCTAAAATGCCAATTACCGTTTGTGGAGCATATCTAAAAAATCTTTCAAGTGAACTTTATTAAACGTTAAACGCATACAGATTAAGTAGTCGAGTTGTGCCTGCAGCTATTGAGAGATACTTTGAATGTGATATATTTTTTTCTGTTATCACAGAAACAAATAAGCGAAAGGCAAAATTTGTTCTGAAACATGACTCCAGAAGCATTTAGGATAACTTCACAGAACTTCCAATTTATAAAGTTGCAAGACCTGACCCAATGCTATTTCCCCTATTATCTCATGACCGCATGTTAAGAAAACAAATTATGAATTATATATTACCACATTTGGGCGTTTGTGTCTTGCTCCATCTAATCCATATCCAATGTCTACATATTGATAGCTTCCTATTGTTCAATTTGGCAGGATTCTACATGACTGTTTCCTCATACATTTGTACGTACACCAATCTTAACTGCCTTGAAGTCCGCAAATTAATTTCTTTTCAACTATGGTTCATAATTACTATGTGAAATATCTTGATTACATCATAGAACAAAACAATAGCACAACGCGATATCTTTGGATATTGTTACCTGTAAAATGACGTGAGAGAATTGTCAAGTTTAGAGAAATCCGAACGTCACAGAATATATTATATAAATTATTTCTGTTGCTTATTTCATAATGTGAGTTCTTAATATATTGATACACATTTAGAGATCAGGGTCTTTCCCATACAATCCGTAAAAACGCCCAAAACGAATTCTCGTCAGGTGTTTTAAATGGAGGCCTAATCTCACCATAAACGAATTCTCCTTGATTTTGCTACTGTCAAATACCATCAAACTAGGGAAATGCCTTCAATTGCTAATAATATTCAAAAACGACTACAAAAAAAAGAAGGCAACAGGTAATGAAAAACCATATCAAAAACTCGCACATTATTACTTTATCTTATGTTTGACAGAGTAGACGCTGTCCCGTGACATCATTATTCTGTAAAGAAATACATAGTCCTTGTATGTATGGTACATTGTAGCTCCATATCCGATTTGGACTTAGCTTCAATGCATCAATAATGTCGTGTGTTCCCTCAATTAATGCATGGGTGGAAAGTTTGAACGATATACCACCTGGTACATTGTACACATGCATACATATCCTCACAGTGGTGTCAGTTGTGTTTCCTATTATTCTTAAGGGAAACTCTAGTGTATTCTAGTGTATTTGTCTTACCTGATAATTGACAAAAGTGATTAGATGTATTGTGTGCGTGGCTGATTCCTTGTTGAACATCTGGTGTACTGTTTTTATATCGAATGTCCACTTCATCTTTTGGGAATAATGTTTTCGTCAAATGTCACATGTGGGTGCTTAATGTTAATGTTCCATAAAAACAAAACAACATAAAAAGAATCTAATAATGGTTGTTTTGGCAAACGATTATAACAAACCCGAAAATCTTTACTAAGAAGCAAATGTTGGACACGTTAGTAGGATGTATGTCGACATTGCAAAAAAAACCACGCACTCTTAGTATGATGAAATATGCTTTTGTCAGGGCAAACCCATGCTATCGTAACTCAGAACTGATGCATTTATAACATTATCGCAAATCAAAGCATTCAAACTTTAGGTAATACTGGGATGTTAATGATGGGGACATGCATTTCAAATGGTAAATATTTTACAAATGTAGGATCTGTTCGTGTACATGTACATTCAGGGTACTGACACAAAATTGTGTCAGAGTGTCATATCATGTCAAAGTGTTTTCCTGATCGTCGTGGGCCGAAAATCAATATGATTTATGTGAAGGCGTTCAAATATCAAGGTAAGGATTAAGTTATTCAGAAAATGCATCACGTTACCCCTTTATTATTGGATCTGGAGGTTAAACAGAAACTTTTGTTTGTTCGTTAGCAAATCTTTACATATATTACAAACATTCGACATAAGTGTACGGATCACCGGATCACCTGGTTATTGCAATACGGTACGGTACGGTATGCAGTACGGTGGAGCATGTATAATGGTCCAATAATACATGTAAATTAACGAATAAACGTGTTTTTACATCGCAATCTTGAAAGAAATAAAAATGCACCATAATAGTGAACCTCGTTGTTCATTTGTAATATAAGATCGGACTGTGCAGGTCGTGGGTAGAATTTACGGACAGCTGGAAAACAATAACTGAAAGTCGAAATGTCAACAAAACCGTTATTAGAATTAAAATCGATAAACATAGGGCAAACTCTTAACACGAGTTAGATTTACACAAAGACCACTGGAAAGTACAAGAGGAATTATAACAGCTGTTCCTTTGACTTCATCGACGACTTCCATATTAAATCTAGTTCAACTCCTTATACAATGTACTACCACGTCCAAAAATGAGAACAGGGGTTGTCAAAACACAACCAGGCATACAAATGAGTTCAAGCAAAATCATTGACCTTATCGTACAAAGAACCCAGCAAGGTCATGATGGCGACCATTAAACTTACCCATGATATTCATCAAACAGCATACCTGGAATTCCTATGTGTAAGTTTGTCCATCAAGGGAAAATAAAGTATTCGACATGGCGATGTAACGACATTTTTCACTTGTAAATATTTTCATGTGTTTTCTGACGATCGACAAATGCCAGTATTATTTTTCAACAGACCAAGTCTTTCCAAAAACCTCCACAGCAAATGTATACAAGCTGTAGCCGCGGAACTAGTTTCCTGTTTTGAATGAGGGTACACGCATTTAATTTGTGCACAAACAAAAGGTTTCTACTTTAAACCTGCCAAGCTCACGGTCAGAAACTTCCTCCGAACTTACCGCGAAGGAGACTTGATACAGGGTTTGTAAATATGTAAAATGCCGATTTCATGTATTGGCCAGCAATGTCGATAAATTGATTGCAATACATATCTGGTATAAAGCATACCGTGAGTGATTATTATTTATCGTCTGTCACCCAAATGGCGACTCACAATGAAAAATACTTCCCAATTATATTATAAGTTAAATAAACAAAAAAGGGCAAATGCCCACAGCTTCAAAAACGAAAATAAAACATGCAGCTTCTTGTAAATTGAAGGCATATAGGCACCACGTGACAAATGGTAGCGCGCGCGCTAAAGAACAGACTAATACTGAGGTAGACACGAAAAGACTTTCATTACATTTTACTTGGTAGAATAGATATAATCGATATATTTTTGTATACTTTTATCAAAAATCAACTCATCTGGATTCAGATTGTAATTGACCTTCGTTGATTACTTTTCCTAACATTTTCTCATCCTTATATATTGCAACATCATACAGGCGCATACGTTGCTTTAGCCCGAGATTCCTCTGACCCTAACAACAGACTTAGACATTTTGACATATACACCAGACATCTATATGTCTAACAGTCTTAGTCTGGTGTTAGGGTCAGAGGAAGCTCGGGCTAATGTTGCTTAAATAGACAGAACGTGTTCCGCACTGTTGTGATCTTTGCATAAATCACCCATAATAATCAAACTTACGATATCTAACATCTAGTCAATTATCTTGCTTCAATGTGAAATATCGGTAAAACATATACCTGCACATAAGTTGGGAACGCTTATGGTAGTTTTAGCCATTAAAGGGAAATGGCATGTACCTATCCCCATCCTATGGACCGTATAAATGTGTACATGTTTTTTCACTTAAGACTGATCCTGATTCATAGTTTCTATTTTTATTCTGAATACATAATCTAAAGGAAGATTACTATTTTGGAAATGTTGATTTCCCCCAGATCCGTATTCATTCGTAAGTTTTCTATATTGACAAGTATGGTAATGGTCATGAAAGAGCGGAAATATGATTCTCGAAATAGATGTACATCAAGTGCTAACGTACATATATGTACGTTCGGCATTAAAGCTTAATATAGCGATGTGACAAAACTTTGAACAAAGAACAAATCTTTATTTATCTGGATTGTAGGAGTGGAAATAGTATCACTGGTGAGTCGTATTAATAATTCTCCAGATATTTTAATTTGTCTGGTGTACTGTAGTAGTCAGGAAAGTATTGAACTCGTTTTCTCCCAGAGTTCACAGCGTTCACGACCCTTACATAGACATTGATTTGACTCTTGTATCGTAAGGCACACTCTAATTTACATGCCAATTAACTAATTGGCTATTTATACTTTGTAAATTGAACCCAATACTGTAATGTAGATCTTAATGACCTCAATGACGTGTTTTCTGACTTTTATTCATTTTATCACGATACAATAAAATGATTGCTTTGTAGTCAAGCAAATCATGATGATGTATGTTTATTAATGTTCTGAAGTATTGGTATTAAAATTTGAAAAATCGTCATTTGCTCAGAATTGTCTTTTCCTGCGGGCAATCAACTTACCATAGCTGATCGAAAATTAAGTAAGATATGCATGGTTGGGTAAGACTGAATCGTATTACTCTTAATGAGATAATGAATAAGTTTGAAGTGTGTGATGTATTTTAAAGTAATAATACCCATGACATAAACGGGAAGAAAAGACAGGAAAACAGACTAGTAATGATATGTTATCAAAGCCCAAAACGTCACACATTGCCTTTCAATATTTCATGCTTAAACAATTAACCCAGCGGGACAGTTCAAAGATTATGTACCTACATCGGGTTACAGAAAGTGGGCAAGTTTTCATTTACCAAAACATTCATTGTTTTCGCGTTGTGCAAACGTTACGTGAGTTTGCGTTAAAATGGGCAATGCAACTATCCTGCGACTACAGTACTACCAAACTGCGTTTTATACCCGAACAACAAGCCGAATTGGCTATAATGCAGATTGTCAATAATTCACCTGATGTATGCTTTTCTACGTGGGTACGGAACCGCCCTTAGCAGAGATATTCTAGAGTGCTGGTTTAGCGAAATATAATCAATATCTTCATTAGAATAAAGCTGGCGCAAACGGAACTCTGTTTTAAAGATAGTCACTCAAGCGTTAAACGTAGGCTATGCTAAACTAGGTTTATCATATAAGCTCTATCGTATATATCGTGTTTTTTTGTATTTAATCATTTTGGTCCCCTCACAACCAGTGAAAAAACTCCGTTGTAAACGTGAATCGTTGCTTGGAATATTTTTGCGACATGACGAATTGAGAGGACATTTTTTTTATCAGTGATTGATAACTTCCTGTACAGCATGAACGTTTCAGGAGCCCGTTTCATCATATTTCTGGTTTGTTTAACAGGTAAGTAATATTTAACTACCTGTAAATATTATGCAGTATTTGATAAAATCCAATTGTTGAAATTCTTTTTTAAAATGTTTCTTTTGGTGATTATATTTTATCTAAGGAGGCAGAGCCCAACTCGGATCAGTACCCAAATCGGAACAGTACCCAAATCGGATCACTCTTTGCAAAAACTACTTATAAATCAATTAATGTGTCAACAGTTTAGTTAACAGGAATCTATCATTATAATACATAGTTATGCATCATTTTTTGTTAAGAGATGATCAACTGTTTAGTAAAGATAGCATCAGAAGATGTATTTCAAACTCAAATTATAGTTTTTTGTTGACGTTGTTGAAAAATGGTGCGTGCAAGGACTATGCATTTTTTTCGGGCTGTAGAAATAAATTCCACAGAACATCTTGAAATGTTAAAATACTGACAGAGAATGATTCTTTTGAAGCGCAAAATATTGAAAACCTCAAGCTGTGGTCCGTTTTGGGTACTAACATTGAAAAACCAAACGGAAACGCTAGATGGTGACATAAGAGTGTTGACCGACTGTTTAATTGCTTACATCTAAGATAATATCACTATGCTACACCTTTTGTCTCGGGTTCGAGACTTATGTGGGCAGTCGCCAGGTACTAGGTCGGTGATTTTGCACCTGTTACGTCCTTTATTGACTATAGCTGTTAAAAGGACGTAAAATAAAAACAAACAAACAACAATATATGTTATGCTGTAAGGTATTCTACAGGTATCAAGCATCTAGGGCGAAAAAAGTAGCACACTTTGATTTTAGTTTAACCATTTTATTTGAATAATTCAAAAGGAATTTGACACAAGTTATTACAACTTAAAACGTTCTTTTCCATTAATAATTACATTATGGCATCAATAATGCAACGGGCAGCATACTATACACAATAATATCTATACATAAACGTAACACTTCAATGTAAGAGAGACTTTTACCAGGACAGTGTACTCTTGGTAATTAAATCAGATTTGAGAAATGTTATTGATATTTTTTTAGAAGATTGTTCAAAATATTTTGGTAGCCCTCTGTTTTTTTTCAGTATTGGAGCGAGTATTCTGTGCTCGCAAAAACGAACTGAACGTGTCAAAAGGAGACCCGTTACCAATGCTGTTCTGGCCAATACAGACGTCAAAACACAACAAAACAATCACGACTGGGAAAATGTAAGTAGAGTTTTAATTGGTATCCTGGGGACATGAATGAATGCAAAATTACAGAATTCTTTGAGCTGTTACAAAACAAAGACTAAAAACATCAGTGGTCAGAATTTTCAAACAAATACATATGATCGATACAGATAATCGCTGGACGACTTGAATATCAAGTATAAGTAGACTCATTGTCTATGATATCACTTGTTCGGTATTAAAAATGTCTCTCATGACCTAATTCTCGGTTTAACAATTGTTATCATATTACTTAACAGATGACAATCAACTTGGCAATGAATGGATGTCCTAGCCACATCGATCTTAGGCAGAAAAACGATATTTTTGTATTGGTCAAGTTTATTGAAATTAATTTAGCTTGGCACACTTTAGCAAACATTCGAGAGATTTAGTATATCATTGAATAGATTTGTGCTTCTTATCTCCAAAACTTCAAGTGATGTTTTGGTTAAGGCCAGCTATCAATAGTGTCATTTAAACTCGGACAGTGTATTATTTATATTTTTTCTTATATTTTGTACATAAAATCATTTTGTTATTTGTTAGAATAATACATAAAAATATATTTAACCAAAATAATCACATACTACAAATACGATGCCCTTAAAACTTGCCTTGTTTCACTCCTGGAATTCCTTACACCGAACACGTTAACCTTGAAATTTCCCGGGAAGAAGACTCTGTATCACGTTGGTGTCAGGAAAAAATCCGATTTTACCGGAATCCGTTCCGGTTTCTAGTTTCGCCTTCTTTCGAATTCGTTTCCGCTTTTGTCATAGTCACACAAACGATAAAATCAGTGACGAAAAACAACAAACGCAAGAAATAATTGAAAGGAAACAGTGCTTTAATGCAAAACGTCCGAGTTTATATGCTTTTTCGAGATTACAAGGATTATCCTATATGTCCTTGCCTTCTGTTATTTTATTTTATTTTCTAGAACGTTTATATGAATATATACATTTTTCCATCTGCACTTGTGCCGGCACTCTATAATCTTACAAGACGCGCATTCAAAGACAATTTCTCATTTTTCATTTGATTTAACGTCACGTCGTCGTTTACTCTAGTACCATACCCATGCCAATCTTTCAAGCTTGTTATTTTAATATTTCAATATCACAGGCCTGTTATTAACGTTTAATATAGCGTATCAGGAGAAGCTACCTCGCCTAACCACACGTATTGCGTTCTAAAAGGTGGTATTGCATAAATTCACCCAAAGAAAGCGTCGTTGACCTGTTCGTCTCGGTCACAATATGAATGTAATACATACCTTTTCATACCGGTTTTAATATTGATGAGCATTTTTGCTGAGTATTCCGTTCGTCAATAGTGGCAACCCTTCCTGTTGCCGGCTCGTTTGGTGTAAAACCTTCAACTCAAAATAGACACTTCAACGTTGTCAACTGTAAAGATGTATCACAACTAGCAAACGTAAATGTGAAACCGTTTAGAATGTTACCCTTTATACTTGTGAAATCAACGGATAGCAGTTTTTAAAAATCACCTCTTTTCCACCAATCACATCACGAGAATGTCACAGGAGGTATGCAAATTTTAAAGTTTCTGGGTATAAAAATAAATAGTATGTATTCAAAGACATGGGTATGCGTACAAAAATATTTTGAGATCAACGAAGTCGATTTCTGGATTTCCAATATCACTTTTGCATTGGGGATGATATAAATTAGTGAGACACTAATCACTGTATTAGATTTGTTCTGATGAAATTAAAATATGACAGCAAACTACACGCATACAGAACTATCTGGTTGCTCAATATCGATATTTGTAAATTTTACACACAAAAAATCAAAATAAGACCAAAGCATGCTATTGCAATTCACACACGTACGACAGGGAATTATAATCAATCGTGCACTGTGTCAACCACAACTCGCTTTCTCGCATCGATCAAGAAAAATGTATTATAACATAGCATACCATCAACAAACATTTAAAATCAATCTTACTTCTCAGCAGGACAATAAAAAAATAAACGAAATAATTGCAAGCTTTCTGTTTGTGACATTGAATAATGTTAAGGCTACATGGTAAGCGATACGAAAGGGGAATGTTTCACAAAAATGCAATTGAATATGTTTTAAGTTGAAGAGGTTCTGATTGCATCTGCAGTTTTGAGAAGCTCACTGATGTGGTGTGGGTTCTGTATATTATAGTATTTACTTTACTCAGATGCCGTTCACATATAGCGAAGAAGTCACTTGTACTAAAAATCATGTATATTCACTTGTTAAATTTCCTTCCGTCATACAACATATTGATATTATGCTACATATATCTTAGGAATCAATAGGGGTATTTAATGTTTACACTAATAGACGCACAGTCTCCAAGGCTTTTAATGAATTCTATTTTGTTGACTCAACTGCTTGTTGATACACTTACATTCCTTTAATTAGCACAAGTATAAACAATGGCGGAAAGCTCCTATCAACATGACAGCGCAAATACAAAGGTTCACATCAAACGTAGCGTGCCGCTAATTGCGTAGATTATGTAAATATAACAAATTTCCACCTTTATGATCTTACCGAATATTCAACAAACATACCTGTTGTTTATGTTCTTGTTGATATTACACTGACTCCCAGATCGTTCAGAAAATGTACAGATTTCAAAAAGTATTTTTCAGATTATATTTGTTTCACTCGGACATGTCAAAAAGTGAAACACGGGTTACTAGTTCATAAAATCAACACAATGGCATTCTTCCACATCCATAGTAATATAATTGACGAACTTTTGTTTGGGTAAAACGGTTTTAAGAATATGTCTCGGTGTAAAAGTTTAATATGTTTTTACATATAATATGGTATTCATTTCATCAGCAACGTTTTAATAGATTTTTAAAGACGTTTTTTTTTCTTTTTAAGTTTCCTACGTTATGTTTAAAGATGAGTATATCCACCTCTATAACACGCATTAACAGTCAGACTATTGTTTTACAGGTTAGCCATATTGCACGATGTAGAGTTGGTATCGGGTCCCACAACGAACGCAGGCATACTCGACGCTCTCAGTTTCAATGGGATGCCAACTTCGTATGTTAAAATCCAAAACATCAACGGTATCCTGAATGGTGACAACGCATTGAATTGGATGTTCTATGTGTATATCTCTTATAGCATTCAAACCGCCTCACTTCTGGAATACCACAATGGCGGGACGGTGGCTGGTTTTACTCTAGGTATCAGCAATCAAAAGCTAACTGCTTCCTTTTACGATCAACTTGGCTTGTCCTACAATATCCAAAGTACTTTCTCCATACCTGTATCAATATGGACTTTTGTAGGTGTGAACTTCAATAAATTATGGAGCAATGATCAATTTGATCTTTTTATGATCGATGCAGCTGGGTCTTTAATTTCTGAAACCACTGGTCTGGGAGCTGCATCCAGTGTTTTGATTCAAGCTTTAGGTTCGGTGGTAATAGGTTCGAACCATTTGGGTAATCAAAACTTTGAAGGAAAAATAGCATGCATCCAGTTTTCAAATAAGTCGCAAATCCATGGTCCACAGAAAAATGCGCCCGATGTGTGTGATCCGAATTTGTGGACAGATCCAGAATATGGTTGGTATATTATGTATTTCATTAGGGCAAACATTTTTATTATTAATCTAGATAACATTTCAATGATAATTCAATATTACAATAGGCCAGGAGATTCATATTTCTGGACGTTTTTACCCACAACATATATTGCCGAATCAAATGAGAAAGATAGTACATATGTCAGTATAGCATATATTGATGCTGTACGAAAAGTGTTTTGAATGAGTTTGTGTCTGTTTGGCAAATCAAATTATGTTCATTATTGTTTTCAGATAGATAAAAATTATCCAGACATTTTTTTAATATATGCGTCAGGATAAAAAAGGCTTTACATTAGATTTGTCTGAATAGATTATAATGTTTACTGTTGTTTCCATGGTTTGCTTTTATTTGAAGAAAAAAACCGGATTTTCTCTTTGGAGTTAGTGTTTCACTTTTACAAAAAAAAAAAAATGTTGGCAATACCTAACCCTAATACACATCTAGTGCAGCAATTCCATGTAATAATGAATAACCCCATATTGAGTAGTAAAGTTTACTTTTATTCTTCAATCTTTATTTATTATGCGTTTTGTGCAAACTGAGCATCCACGTCAGTATCTTTTTTCAAAGTGACTCAACGCGTCAACATATTATCGCAAAGTGACAAAACACGTCAACGTTTTTCTACAGTCACAACACGTCAACGTATTTCTACACAGTGACAAAACACGTCAACGTATTTCTACACAGTGACACAACACGTCAACGTATTTCTACACAGTGACACAACACGTCAATGTATTTCGACACAGTGACACAACACGTCAACGTATTTCTACACAGTGACACAACACGTCAACGTATTTCTACAGTCACAACACGTCAACGTATTTCTACAGTCATAACACGTCAACGTATTTCTACAGGCATAACACGTCAACGTATTTCTACAGTCACAACACGTCAACGTATTTCTACACAGTGACACAACACGTTAACGTATTTCTACAGTAACAACACGTCAACGTATTTCTACAGTAAGAACACGTCAACGTATTTCTACAGTCACAACACGTCAACGTATTTCTACAGTCACAACACGTCAACGCATTTCTACACAGTGACACAACACGTCTTCGTATTTCTACACAGTGACACAACACGTCAACGTATTACTACACAGTGACACAACACGTCAACGAATTTTTCTACAGTGAAACAACACGACACAACTCGTTAACATATAAATTGATTAAGGATGTTATACGTATCATTTCACAAAATGAAATTTGACAAAAAGTTATTTAAGATCCAGATTATACATCCATGCATTCCTTCATGACTAATCCTTGGTATTGCTTTGAATGTTACAATTTATTTATCTCCGACATTAGTACAGCTCAATATCTGGCCGAAATACCAGTGTAAGCAATTTTGAATATGTTTTCCGTGGTTGCTATGGAACTGACCACCTTTAACAATCGATTATGGAAAGGTTACATTTGTACAGCGTCTGGCCCCATATGTATTCTTACTGACTCTAGCCGTTTACATGGTTGATGTAACACACTACATCGTCCTTGAATACAATTAGACTGGAACTATTAATGGCAAATTGTCAGCAATATATTATCTAAACGCCTAGCAGAGCATGAGCAAATTGTCAAAGGAAACAGCCGGTTTAAGAACTTATTTACAATCGATCGCGTATCGTGCTAATCTGGATTAATTTTAACACGACCAAACCTGTTACTCAATTTCTTTCTGATTTTAAAATAGCCATAGGCAATCTTACAGGAATGGCAGGGCTGGTCATCAGAGCAATTCTGAAAAATATCAAATCGTGTAGATTAAAAGTTGATTTATAACTGTTTGTTCATTTACAAATACTAAACATAATATACCATTATGTGGTCAAATTAGAATAGATGTAATCCTGATTAAACACTGATGGTAGGTATACGGTTTGTACGTACCATTTTTGTGAGATGTACTGTCAGACGTTATGTTTGTTTATAACTCAGTTGCTGATCGATATTTCAAAATATTTCCAGCCAAAAAACATGTAATTCCAAATAATTATATTCGCATTTCACTTAAGACATATCGTGGTGTGACTAAATTACAACGCTGTTAGAACGTCAATAACTGGTGTTGGTACGACGTGTAATACTGTACAAGACGTCGCCGAGATGTTGTAGGAGGGTTGAGGACGTCGCAACCAAATACAATGGTGTACCGACGTAAATGCAACGTTATGTGTCCATTGGGTAATATGTGGTGATAGTTGTTTAGGTGTGGTCGGTGTCTTCTGTTGATAATGAACGTTATATGTCCATTGGGTAATATGTGGTGGTTAATGAAGGTGTTATGGTGTATGGAGCTGTGGTCGGTGTCTTCTGTTGATAATGAACGTTATGTGTCCATTGGGTAATATGTGGTGGTAAATGTAGGTGTTACATGTATGGTGTGTGGAGCTGTGGTCGGTATCCTCTGTTGATAACGAACGTTATGTGTCCATAGGGTAATATGTGGTGGTAAATGTAGGTGTTACGGTGTATGGAGCTGTGGCCAATATCCTCTGTTGATAATGAACGTCATGTGTCCATTGGGTAATATGTCGTGGTAAATGTAGGTGTTATGGTGTACGAAAATGTTGTCGGTATCCTCTGTTGATAATGAACATCATGTGTCCATTGGGTAATACGTGGTGATAAATGTAGATGTTACGGTGTGTGGAGCTGTGGTCGGTGTATTCTGTTGATAATGAAAGTTATGTGTCCATTGCGTAATATGTGGTGGTAAATGTAGGTGTTACGGTGTGTGGAGCTTTGGTCAGCGTCCTCTGTTGATAATGAAGGTTATGTGTCCATTGGGTAATATGTGGCGGTAAATGTAGGTGTTATGGTGTGTGGAGCTGTGGTCGGTGTCTTCTGTTGATAATGAACGTTATGTGTCCATTGGGTAATACGTGGTGATAAATGTAGGTATTATGATGTATGGAGCTGTGGTCGATGTCTTCTGTTGATAATGAACGTTATGTGTCCATTGGGTAATATGTGGTGGTAAACGTAGGTGTTATGGTGTGTGGAGCTGTGGTCGGTGTCTTCTGTTGATAATGAACGTTATGTGTCCATTGGAAAATATTCGGTGGTAAATGTAGGTGTTACGGTGTATGGAGCTGTGGTCAGCGTCCTTTGTTGATAATGAACGTTATGTGTCCATTGGGTGGTATGTGGTGGTCAATGTAGGTGTTATTGTGTATGGAGCTGTGGTCGGTGTCCTCTGTTGATAATGAACGTTATATGTCCATTGGGTAATACGTGGTGATAAATGTAGGTATTATGATGTATGGAGCTGTGGTCGATGTCTTCTGTTGATAATGAAAGTTATGTGTCCATTGGGTAATATGTGGTGGTTAACGTAGGTGTTATGGTGTGTGGAGCTGTGGTCGATGTCTTTTGTTGATAATGAACGTTATGTGTCCATTGGGTAATATTCGGTGGTAAATGTAGGTGTTACGGTGTATGGAGCTGTGGTCAGCGTCCTTTGTTGATAATGAACGTTATGTGTCCATTGGGTGGTATGTGGTGGTCAATGTAGGTGTTATTGTGTATGGAGCTGTGGTCGGTGTCCTCTGTTGAAAATGAACGTTATATGTCCATTGGGTAATATGTGGTGGTAAATGTAGGTGTTACGGTGTATGGAGCTGTGGTCGGTGTCTTCTGTTGATAATGACATTATGTGTCCATTGGGTAATATTCGGTGGTTAATGTAGGCGTTATGCTGTGTGGAGCTGTGGTCGGTGTCTTCTGTTGATAATGAAGCGTTATGTGTCCATTGAGTAATATGTGGTGGTAAATGTAGGTGTTATGGTGTATGGAGCTGTGGTCGGTGTCCTCTGTTGATAATGAACGTTATGTGTCCATTGAGTAATATGTGGTGGTAAAAGTAGGTGTTTCGGTGTATGGAGCTGTGGTCGGTGTCCTCTGTTGATAATGAACGTTATGTGTCCATTGAGTAATATGTGGTGGTAAAAGGAGGAGTTTCGGTGTATGGAGCTGTGGTCGGTGTCCTCTGTTGAAAATGAACGTTATATGTCCATTGGGTAATATGTGGTGGTAAAAGTAGGTGTTACGGTGTATAGAGCTGTGGTCAATAGCCTCTGTTGATAATGAAAGTTATGTGTCCATTGTGTAATATGTGGTGGTAAATGTAGGTGTTATGGTGTGTGGAGCTGTGGTCGATCTCTTTTGTTGATAATGAACGTTATGTGTCCATTGGGTAATATGTGGTGGTAAAAGTAGGTGTTACGGTGTATAGAGCTGTGGTCAATATCCTCTGTTGATAATGAAAGTTATGTGTCCATTGAGTAATATGTGGTGGTAAATGTAGGTGTTATGGTGTATGGAGCTGTGGTCGGTGTCCTCTGTTGATAATGAACGTTATGTGTCCATTGGGTAATATGTGGTGGTAAATGTAGGTGTTATGGTGTGTGGAGCTGTGGTCGATGTCTTCTGGTGATAATGAACGTTATATGTCTATTGGGAAATATGTGGTGGTAAATGTAGGTGTTATTGTGTGTGGAGCTGTGGTCGGTGTCTTCTGTTGATAATGAACGTTATAAATGTAGGTGTTATGGTGTATGGAGCTGTGGTTAGTGTTTTCTGTTGATAATGAACGTTATGTGTCCATTGGGTAATATGTCGTGGTAAATGTAGGTGTTATGATGTATGAAAATGTGGTCGGTATCCTCTGTTGATAACGAACGTCATGTGTCCATTGGGTAATATGTGGTGGTAAATGTAGGTGTTATGATGTGTGGAGCTGTGGTTGGTGTCTTCTGTTGATAATGAACGTTATGTGTCCATTGGGTAATATGTCGTGGTAAATGTAGGTGTTATAATGTATGAAAATGTGGTCGGTATCCTCTGTTGATAACGAACGTCATGTGTCCATTGGGTAATATGTGGTGGTAAATGTAGGTGTTATGATTTGTGGAGCTGTGGTCGGTGTCTTCTGTTGATAATGAACGTTATGTGTCCATTGGGTAATATGTCGTGGTAAATGTAGGTGTTGTGATGTATGAAAATGTGGTCGGTATCCTCTGTTGATAACGAACGTTATGTGTTCATTGGGTAATATGTGCTGGTAAATGTAGGTGTTATGGTGTGTGGAGCTGTGGTCGGTGTCCTCTGTTGATAATGAACATTATGTGTCCATAGAGTAATATGTCATAGTAAATGTAGGTGTTATGTTGTGTGGAGCATTGGTCGGTGTCTTCTGTTCATAATAAGATTGGTCCTGTACTATTGGGGGTGTCACACCTTCATCCAACCTGGTGTCTGTTTTAAGGCTTTTTTTGTAGATAAATATACAATTCACCTCTGATGATTTCGGTAGAAAATTCAGTTCTATTCTGGTTGTTTAACATTTTATCTTGAGGGAAAGACGTCAAAGAGTCTTTTGTAAAAAAGTAAAATTGCAACATCATGATAAATTAATATCGTCAAGGCATATATCTGCAGAAACGTTGCGATAACGATTTAAGTATCAAATTGCAGCTGTATGAATAAAATCGATATCTTATAATGTGACATCGAAATACAATTTCACTATGTGCTCGTTTTGCCCAATTTTTGCCTTGTTTAAAAAATCTGTGTTATGATAAAAAATGATGTACTGGAGCAATGCTATGAAATAATGAATGTATTTATAGTCTTATATTTAAAAATATTATGCTTTTATGACTAACCTAATCTTTCACTTCTCCGATTCACTGGAAAGTGTCAAGTTCAATCAGAAACACTTTTATTCCAGTAATAAAAAAACACGGGGAAATAAAGGTAAAGGTAATCCGTAAGAGGTAATTAAGAATCCAGCCTTTTTTTTTTTAAAATATTTGTAGTCAGTGATTCATCCTTGACGTAGATTGCAAACTAATACATTTACAACTAATACGTGTGATTATATCTTCATAAAGATCAGTTAGCAGAATTTCATTCATGGGATCTTATCCGGTAGTGCAGGCTTATTTCAAATGTTTGTTACCTATTCGTTGAAGAAATGTAACGTATTTGTTTTCTTTGAAATGTATTATTTACATACAAAAACAGGGGAGTTAACCGAGGATGCCATAATTACGACATTAACACCACCAACGACAACATCAACTACAACTATATCGTCAACAACCGTACCAACTACAACAACCACTCCATCACAATCAACAACGCTGCCAACAACATCCGCAGCAGCAGCAGCAACAACAACAACGGAAATGTTAACAGCGACAGCCGCGCCAACAACAACCGAAATGTCAACAACGACAGCACAAGTCATCACCATGCCAACGTCTACTACTAGCTATTCAAATAACACTGCATTAGGTATGTACAACTTCCTCGGTAATATATATTTTTAAATGGGCTTTTTAGTCTAATAACATCCTTAAGATCTTTTATATACTGAAAATATCGATCTACTAACGAAAGTGAACGTAGTTGATAATGACATGGCCTAAACCCAACCCTAAATCCAGTGTGGTCAGTTTTATCTTTTGGGAAAGCCGGTAATAAATATAGCTACGACCGAAATAGCGCAACACACGTTTGCCGCTTTGAATTTACACAATACATCGCAAGCAAGAATTATAAGTATCATAATATTTAAATCTAATGAGATGTTTCTGTTTCCAATAAGATTGGAATAAGAAGAAACATGAATAATACAGTATGCACGCAACAGTGAACCGCATGGACAATTTTAAACCATCCACAGTCCGATATCAGTGGGTTACACTTGTTTGTAATGGTGATTGGGATGCTTTTTGGAAGATGTTATTATTCCGAATAAATGCCGGTATTTGTATTCTAAAGACATGAGGTGATTAAAGTTGAAATTTACATTCTCTGCTCGGCTGGAAAGACACATTCTTCAAGAAAATGTCGTCTCTGGTCAATATCTCGACATGTATTATTCATAAGAAGTATCAAGCTATATCTTATTACAAAGAATTTTGTAACTAGATTCATCCCAGATATTATATTACTATATTGTATATCTAAGACGTACATTCCGTTTAAGGATACTTGTCCCATTGCAAGGAATTAACGCTGGATAACTCCACTGTCCACAAACACCCTACCCTTAATTTCATTTCGGATATGTCTGTAACACGACTGGTCCAGAGAGCTTCGGTTTAAACATAAGTCATTTAGTAAGAGCGACAGTCAGAGGCGTGTAGCTGCATTTACGCTTTGGTCGCAGTTACATCCGCTTGATTAAAAAAAAAACGTGTTGCATCTCCTTGTATCCCTACTAAGGGTCTGCCCTGGATCCGATCCTAAATAAATCTACTCCGAACAAGGGCTAGCTACACTCCTGACAGTAAAACGAGATCGAAACTTCGAATCCCTGTCTTGCTTCGTTGCAATTTGACATTAAAAACTTTGTTGTTGAACTTTGCTTTTGTTATTTAATTTCGATTGTTTTTCAATAATCAAATGATGAAAATATCATATTAGTGACGTCTGACTTAATATCCTGGTGTAGTCATAACTGAACTTATCATGATGTCTAATTTGAAATGTAGTTGTACGACAAAGATAGCATGTGCACTATTATGTGATAGTTTATTTTTCATTTCAGTGTGTAACGGCAATGATACAGCTGTTTGTCACTGCTATACTGCCTTCACAACAGACGAACTAATCACGAAGCTATACGAGTTGAGAAAGCATCTCCTGGTGGATAGAAAAACAACATCAGGTAACACTGGTTTGTCCTATATCTGGGTAAATGTACATTTTTTTTCTCTCTACTAGTTCTAGTTGTGTAGCTGCGACATCAAATTACATAGTGAGTCGTAGCTTTAATATAGCTTCAATATTTAGACCTTTCATCACGAACTCCTGAGTGCATACCCTCCTAGAACATCGTACCGCCACCTGATACCACCTGATGCTTACATGTCTGTGCAGACTGACCATCCTTTATAGGTTTATTAGTTATTAGTTAGCGCTACATGACTTGAAAGTGTCCATGACTAATCTAGATGTTTTATCTTGCAATGGACCAGGACAAGGGAAACAACTCCGGCCAATTTCAACAAATGATGCATTTACATGGATATCGTTTTGCTAACGAACAAATATTATGATACTTTTTTTTAATTTGTCAATAGTCCACATTTTTCTTAAATGTCAGCTACATGGTCATGTATTTTGATGATTTATTGGAGCTACCGATGTCAACATTGGCACGCCACGAATATACAAACTCAAATGTATATAGATCGACGAGCCAAACAGATACATTGCATACCGCAAAACAGTCGAAGAAGACATAACAAGAATATATTAGAAATGTTTCAGGCCTTGTGATGTAGTCTGGTTTATCATAAAATTAAACCTTGTCTAAATGAACATATTCTATGCAAATACATCACTTGACAGTAATTACGTGTTTTTACCTGCGAAGGCTCCTCGATTGAAACCATATGAACGATATTTTCTATCGGATGTTTGACAGATATCTGGGTATTTTTGTCACGCGTCTTTAATTGCATCTCATGTTGTATCGATTTATTGTTTATACCCATTATGCTTCATGAAGGTTGTATGATATAGCAAACACAACCCTGTGTACAAAACTGATTTTGCGAGAAGAGGTGGGAAGCTCTATCAAAGGTACTAGCCTCGTCTGTCAATACACCAAACTATACACAAGCTGGCTAACTACGTGTAACTGGCGCCATCCACGAGAGATTTAACGTGTCGTCCCGGGGACAGCACAGTGTCCGACCAACTGAAATTCGCCCATTTTTTATGTTTCACGAAGTCTACACACAATTATGCTGCCTGATTAATTGTATATGACACAACAAATTAAAGAAAAACATATTTTCCTGTCGATCTAGACTGCTCCCGGCGTGACGTTATGTACGGTTATGACAAAATCGCATGTTTTCTGGAACGGGTTCATTTTACTAGGGGGACGAAGTTAGCAACCTTGTTTATGGTATGGGTGCATTGATAACCGTGGCTAGTACCTGTGGTTCTATTTTCGTATTTGCAAATGAGAGGTTTGTGTGTCAAAATTATATTGAAGGTTTTTCAAAACAGTAAATTTCTTCGTTTCGTTGCAGCTGCCATACGTTTACGGACAAGTGCTTCGGATGACCGTAGAAGTGCTATTGCCATTGGAGGGTTCGGAGTAGGGATACTGGTCTTACTGACCCTGGGTATCGTATCACCCGACATCATCGACCTCGTCTCATATATGCACATATCATCTCAAGCAAAAACTGTGTAATATGCTGTAAATTGAGGAGTTACTATTTCCAGAGTAGCAATATTCCCATTAACAATACATTGTAACACATTGTATGGATGATGACAATGATAATGATGATGATGGCTATGAGGAACGGATAGTTTGAACGTTTATGATCAGGATGCTGATGAGATAATGATGATGATGATTGTGAGGATGATGATGATAGTGGTGATGATAATGACAACAACAATCAGGATGATATGGATGATGATGATGATGATGAGGATGACTGTGAGATAATGATGAGGAAGATGATAATGGTGATGATGATGATGACGACAACAATCAGGATGATGTTGATGATGCTGCTGCTGCTGCTGCTGCTGCTGATGATGATGATGATGATTGTGAAGATGATGATGATGATGGTGATGAGGAAAATGATAATGGTGATGATGATGATTAAGACAACATTCAGGTTGATGATGATGATGAGGAGGAGGAGGAGGAGGAGGAGGAGGAGGAGGAGGAGGAGGAGTGAATTAAGTGTCAAAATGTGTGTTAAAGAGTTTGAAAATGAAAATACCTGTTTTGTACCTATATTATAAAAACCGTTGGAAAAATAAATTGATAAAAAATCCGGTGACAAAATTCAACGACTAGTGATTATTGACTTTACTTATTAGATGAATGTAAGACGCACAGGTGGTTGCACCTTCAAAATTTGGTAATAATTTAATCTTGCTTGTAACAAGCATTTTCATTGGCTTTAAAATTTATCAGCCAATAACTTAAAAAATGACGTCGCCGTTTGTAACGTCGCTTTTGATTGGCTGATACAGCAGCGCAATAATTTCTAAAAGAAAAGAGTCCATCAATAAAATTGGATTTCCACAGGGATTGGGTATAGAAGATTAAATTATAAGGATTAACTTGAATATATATTTCATGTTATGGAGCTATAACTCAAAAAACCGGAATGTACTCTCATCATAAACCGCTTCGCGGTTTATTTTGAGTACACTCCGTTTTTTGTGTTATATCTCCATTACATGAAGAATATATTCAAGTTAATCCTCAAATAGATACAGTATGGCAAAACATAATAACACTGCATCTTACAGCTGTTACGTCCTGCTAAGACTTATCAATGATGCGAGGGGCCATAAAGTGGGAAATCCAAATAGTCTTATCTACTGTTGAAACATAAGGTATATAATACAATAAGTTCAACTTTATGGCCACTATAATATGATTGGTTTAACTGACAACTGTACAGGTAGATATAACTTAGATATAAGAAAGGACGTGGAAGGTTTTGGACTCTAACAAACTGTATTCACTAGTATTTCGCAAAGATGCAAACAAAAGAAACGCAGTGTGTTTTACAGGGGGGAAAAAGAAAAAATAATATTTTACTGTACATCATTGATTTGTTTTACCTCTTTTTACACATCTAATGTTCAACAATCTCCCTGGATGATGGTATGGTCACCCTCAATTTTTACTCCCTGTAATGTTTATTCACCTAGTTAAAGACCGCAGCTTATGTATGTACTTTGCATATAAAAAAAACGTTTTCTAAATAAGCTATGGAAATGGTGAAGGGCGAGGTTTACGTAGAAAATAATAAGACATTAGTAATGATGTCATCATACAAAAGGTAACATGTCAACCTTTTCAGGACCCATCTGAATGCTAAGATCATTTATATACCTAGAGCTAAAAAAAACATACTTTACTAGCTGTGTCGAGGTATGCAGGCTCCAGATCAAGATAGAAGTTGCCACGCAAAACAACTAAATTCATAGTAAAAAATTCTGTAAATGTATTTTATCTTTTATCAGATTATAAATGAAAAAAACAACAAAGGCCAAGTAACCTAGATCGATAAATGAACTTTAAAAGTTACTAAAGGTCTTTTTATAGATTCATAACGGTTATACATATGTATATACATTTACAAGTAAAATATGTTCTCATTTTTCGGGCATTTTACTTTGATTTCAATTGCCCACGTCATCATATATTGAGGCCGGTATGCCTCTCCACAGCTGGAAAAAGAAAAATGCATGCCCTAGGTTTATAGCGAAGCTTAAGGTGATATTTCATTTTGTTGCATTCAGTTGGGTTGCAGAAGAGAATGACACGTTATTAGCCAGGTAAACTGTTTTATAGAGACACCGACTACGTTACCATCGGTTGTGTATCACTAAAATAGTAGATTTCAATTTCGTTTTTTTTTTTTAAATCTGGGTCATTGAATATGACTACATATATATATAATCTTTCAGGGAGATTGTTAAACATTAAGTATTCAGGAATGTGAGTATGAAATATATCAATATTGAAATTTTGTTTATTGATGATGCTAGCTATGTTTACTTCGTAAATTAGATACCAATTATATATTTAATATAAATAATTGATAATAGTAGAGTAGACCAAATTTGATCTCTACCTTTTGGTTCCAGCATTATCGATAAGTTCAAGAAGGACGAAACAGCTATTCCGTCTTTGTGTATTGCAGAGTTATCTTCTCTTGGTAGCAGGTGTTGATTGTTACGGCATTGGTTTATGTGAGAAAATTACGTCGTTTTCTCAAAAATTGATGACGTTATTTTCATAAACAAGTGATGTAACAATAAATACCTGCTCCCAAGAGAAGATAACTCTGCAATACGCTAAGACGGAATATTGTACAGTGTAATTCAGTATTTTGTAACGGTTTATATTACCAAAATAAGTACAATTACATGAAAGGGTCTCACGTTTATATTACTATTACTACTCATTTAAAATGGTTGATCTTGGAATCTACACTCGTTTTTAGCCTCAGAACTATGGGAGTAGGTATGCACTACATGTCTAGCATACGAAAACAAGCAAGCCTATATCATTTTAATTGCACTTTTTATCAGAAGAAAGGGTATCCATTCTCATCTGTGAGCACAGGGGAATATCACTCCTCAAGCTACAGCAACATTTTCATAATTATACTCCAACATAGACAGATTCGATAACAAACTGCTAAGGGAGTTTAGACATTTCTAAATATAATGATGAGTTGTAACAGTTTTTGTACAATATTTTGCAAAACATATCGAATTCATTAGATAGACATCAAAATGTGATCCTAATGCTATTTAAATATTTACAGATAACTCCGTCGACGTACTCTGGACGAAGAATGTTATTTTCTGGTGAAAACCCCCCAAAGTAACCCCGACTCAAAGAACATTTTAAAGTGTACCCTGAATGTTTTGATATTAAGCGCTCTGAAAATATTTCATATCATACATCGAAATGGTATCGAAGTGCGTTGTGATGACCTGTGTTTACGAGATACAAATTTTGTATTGGGATGTTTTCTGCAAAAAACACCTTTGCCTCAGCAGCAATCGCCTCGATATTGATAGCACACATACATGTTTGTGACGTCAATGCTGTCAAAACAGCTGTATTGGAGTTACAGGGAAGCTTCGACCGTGCGTTCGATATGCGAGCTTTCTAGCTATTTATGTAAATGTTCCGTCGTCACTATTTGGCGTAGGAAATATTTATGTGTAAACGGAAAGAGCTTAATACACATACACGACTATTTTTACAATTCAATGATTAAATGAGGTACTATCGAGGAGGCTAACGATGCGCTGCATAGGGGTATTCGAACACACAAGTGGATGGGGGTATACTTGCATGCGTGTCCACGGTTGTGGATGCTTTTTAACGCAATACTGCCGATATAATACCTTATTGTTGAATCGATATCTTAATACTACGATGAGCTCCTATATATAGCACAAAGCCATTGATAAAACATGGAGTAAAACGTGAGCGCAACCCCGCCCCTTCTTTACAATATCGACATATACGATTGAAATGACAGCAATCGTATATGTACAATATGATATACTCAAAATAAGTGAATATTATTTTATCCAAAATTATTACCACCAGTAATTAAAACACATTACCCATGTATTAATAATGTTGTGAAAAGGTGTGTAATTTTTGTGGCATAAGTTGTCTTGTCTCGTTGCAATACTTATAGAGGCAAAGGGAGGTAATAATTTCAATATGTGTATTCCTTAATCAGTGAATTAAGAATGTTAACAAATATACATATTTTATTTAAAATTAATAATAATTGTACACTCTTTTCTTTCAGAGGATTAATATAATTTAGCACCGCATTTAAGTGCTGAATAAAATGTAATGTGTCAAATATTTAACTAACACACAATGTCGTCAATTTCTGATTATACAGTGGGTAATAAATGGCGCCGTTTAACTTTACAGCTAAAATTAAAGAAGACCTTCTTTTTAAACAGCATAGAGAACATTGCTGTTTAATTGCCTTCTAGGTCATTTACTCAGTGAATTTCCCGTTAAGTACTCTAACAATTGTCACGCAATGCTAACAGTCTATGTTAGCCGCTAACAGTCTTTGCTAGCCGCTAACAGTNATACCGGGTACCTGAATATTCTGAAAATGATACAATGCTCACCGTAATTCCCATTCGCTACATTGTATCGTAAAATGATAGGAGTTGCTTCCCCTACGCCAGGCAAAATTAGTAAGACGCTGTCGCAAGCGACCGTCTTTTGTTTTAGCGTGGGTGCCGTCCCCTTATCTAAGCGTTTCGGTGACATTGAGAGACAACAGCACAACAACAACATGGAGAGATTTGGGCAGACGACAACGGAAGAAATAGACAAGAAGCGACTAAACAGTCAGTCTGCCCAAACGCAAAAGGGTCCTCGATGCGATAAATTCGTTATATAGTCAGTTACTGACCCTCTACAGAACCATAGAGGGTTAGTAAGATGTATAGGAGGCTCGGGCTCCGCCCTCGCCCCCTATAAATCTTACTGACCCTCTATGGTTCTGTAGAGGGTCAGTAACTGACTATATAACTAATAATGTTAGCCGCTAACTGTCTATGCTAGCCGCTAACAGTCTATGTTAGCCGCTAACAGTCTATTTTAGCCGCTAACAGTCTATGTTAGCCGGTAACAGTCTATGTTAGCCGCTAACAGTCTATGTTAGCCGCTAACAGTCTATGCTAGCCGCTAACAGTCTATGTAAGCCGCTAACAGTCTATGTTAGCGGCTAAAAAAGAGGAGATCTTGACACCATATTGTTTTGGTTAGAAACGGGGCGTGATTTAATTGCGATGGGAGGAGCTTAACACAATTGATCATGATTCTATCGCATATTAGAACATGGTCCGTATCCAATCAAAAC